TATAAAATTATCACAACTATATATTTAATATTACTCCCACTAGTGTAGTATACTACTCCCTTACAAGTCCTAAGTGTGTGACCCTTTAGGTATCCATAACACTGGCAATGATATTAATAAAATTAATACCATAGATAATAAGCGGTATCTAGCAACACATTATTACCCCCAGATTATGAAAAAGACGTTCATCTCATCAATACCTTCTACGACAAAAGACATTCTATAACTATTATCCTTCTGTCCTAAATGTCATGATTTAACATAAGGCATGGGATGTGTATCCTTGTATAGTTAAATCAGCTGTTACTGAATCTCAAGTAGACTGGCAGGGATCAGATATTTATCAGTCTCTAGATAGCGACATATCTGGGCATGGCCATGCACTTTTCCAAGTCCTACTATTCAGTGGGCCCATTGACATTATACTTCTATACAGTAGAAGGGACAGATCCTGTATCTGTTATTCATATCTCTGAATATGCTTAGCGGCATACCCAACGCATAATTGTACGTCTACCAGTATTTCAGATAGCATTAGTTATGAATCAAAGCATACAGCTCCACATATCAGAGAATGTAATAACTTCAAGTCTAAGGGTAGTTATAGCAAGGTCGATTTGAGAATACTGATAAACACATTACTGTAGATCCATGCAGTATTCTCAAGATGGGTCAATCCAGTCACATATTATCGATATAATATGCACCTACGTACAGATTAAGATATCACAATACCTTTAGTCTATGAGAAGCAACTATCTCATCTAGTACGTACTAGTCTTGATACGTTATGACGTCCGTATTATCATAAAGTGCGACTAGGGATATTCTAGACATAGCCTTCGTCAATAAGTAACAGTCTCATAATCAGAACATCGTAGTCCTCATCTATGTTACAGAAGCGCCATCGTCTATGGACTTAAGCTATGTTATGTTACACGAGATAGAAAACATACTTCAAGGCCTTTGCATTCATGATAAAGTGTACAGTTACATAGGTATTTGATTGCCGCTAGGGCACCTAAATACAACACGCCGTTCTGCTGCTGGCCCAGCCGAACCTCGGGCCCGGGCCAACCTTGCCTCCATCACCGACTCCCTCAACCGGCTTCACTTCAAAGTTGACGGGATGGATGGCTACCTTGAGCGGCTCGACGAGGCTATTCAACACCAAGGGCATGCCATGAACGCGTACTTCCAACGCGTCAACTACGTCCCCCCACCGTACCAAGGCACGTTCCTTGGGCAAGTGTACGGTGACGAGGACGAAGAGGATGGCTCCTACGCCCCGTCAAGCTCCCCGGATGAAGACGAGTTCGATGACGTCGTTGACGGCGATGAGATGGACGTCGACGACGAGGAGGAGGAAACCGAAGCCGAAGACTAGGACACCCCTAGAAATTCTATCTTTTTTTCTCGTCTTGTTTTTTTAAATGCTTCCGTTGTACTCCGCTATTTCCCAATTTAATAAATAAAATCATCTTTTATCTTTTTGTTAATGTCAAAAGGGGGAAGAAAAGGGTTATGCATACACTAAGGGGGAACGTCTCTAAAAATGGGATCGTTTGATTTAAATATGACTACTCGTTTTTAAAAAAACACACACAAATTAAGGGGGAATTTTTTTTCACACCTTTCAAAATCAAATATCCCTTAGTATGCATATCCCCGTCTTGTTTGCCATTATCAAAAAGGGGGAAATTGTTGGAACACGGGTTTACGCCTATGTCGTACTAAACCGTGTTCGTTTTATGACAAGTTTTGATAATGCCAAACCGCCGTGACAACAAGATTAAACTGAGCAAAACCAAGGCAAAGGAACATGGCATGATGAACTGAGAACCAAGAACCAAGAATCAAGAACGAAGACTTAGAATTGTATTGAGTCGGTCTTAATGTGATCAAGACCGGTACAAACTTTCAAAACTTGGCTCTCTAGGCTCATATCATCAAAATACTTTTTGCATATTCAAAAATGTTCTTCTTAAGTTTTAAATATGCCTAAAAACACTTGGAGTTCGCCCAAACCAAAAACTAAGCCATCCGGCATTCGGGTTTCGGAAACCGGCGTTCGGCTTTTGGTCATCAGCGTTGGTTTTTGGCGTCCGAACCAACCAAGTGGTTTTCAACTTTTAATGATTGGTTTTTACTTCTGGGCATATTTAAATAGTTCTCCAACAAAAACGCTTCAAAAACCACCTTTCGTTTTTGGTCATTTAGTGAAAACCATGCGAAACAGCGTAAACTTGGCTAGCCGTGGTTTTCAACTAAACGATGTGGTTTTCAAGATGTTTTACTTGATTTCTTAGCAAAATGCATTAAACAAATGTTTTCAATACTTGGTTTTTATTTTGGAGAACTTACATTTTTGTCATCGGCTAACAGCATGACTAAACCAACCATGGGTCTGGCTAAACCAGCCCAACAGCGATGTTGGTGTAACCAACAGCGCTGTCTGGCATGGGAAGCTGAAAACCATGGTTTGGTGTTAAGTCTTCCAACAGAGATGTTGGATGTTAGACATCGCTGTTGAGCCAAGGTTGGGTTTCCAGAAACATCTGGAACAGCGATGTAGACTACCCTGCATCGCTGTCCAACCTAAGCCAAAAAGAAATGCTTCTGGCAGAAAGTTTTTGGACAGCGATATTGACCCAGCAACAGCGCTGTCAGGCCAAACTTTCCACCTTCAATGTCAGACCTAAACAGCGATGTTCAAATAATGAACATCGATGTAGGGACCTGACCGTTGGAAGGAATTTAAGGCTAAAACTTTCCTTGTTTGGAAGTCAACAACGAAAACATCGATGTAGGGGTATTGGACATCGGTGTTGGCATGACCGTTGCTTCCCATTTTTCAAAACCCAAGCCTAGAACAGCGATGTCCAAGCCTAGGACAGCGCTGTCTAGTTGATTTTCAGCAGATCCAATTTCAATCAAATCCCAAAAATCAAGCCAATCACCCCGTAAATGTTTTGACCCATTGGAGCCTATTTTGGCACTATAAAATGGGGTGTTTGGGTTTGTTTTACATATCACATTACTTCACAACTCCTATTCTTTCATTGCATATTATTATACATTATTCATAGCTTTTAGAGAGCCATTTTTGTGAAGTTCGTGTTGTGATCTTGAGCGTATTACTTTACTCATATTCACTCTTTTGAGAGAGCCTTGTTCTTGAGTGTTCTTAGTTTTTATAGACATTAAGGGAAGTTTGTTTCCCTTGGTTGTACGAAGGAAAGGTACTTTCCTTCGGGTTGAAGTCTTGGAGTGCGGTATCTCTGAGCAAGTGTTGTTGAGGCTCGTGGGACTCGAGTTCTCAGGTTGTAACGGTTTGTTAAGAACCCGTAAGCTTAACGGAAGTAGTGTAGCTTGAGAGAGTCTCTCGGGAGGCTGGATTAGCCACAAGTTGTGGTGAACCAGGGTAAATTTGGTGTGTTCTTTCCTTACGCTTTTTTATTCCGCTCTTTACTTTATCCCTGCGATTTTTATTCCGCAAAAATTTATAAACATTCTCGTGCCTCACTATTCACCCCCCCTCTAGTGAAGGGCACTTATTCTAACACAAGGTAATCCAGATTTTCCCCGAGCTCACCATTCAGACTAGGGTCGTGCATGTTTGGGATGTCACCCCAGGCGGAGGAAAGGACGGATCCACTCTTCTGGTCCGGCGAAGAACAAGCTGGATCCCATGGTAGACGCCGGTCTCGAGCCACTTCGTCCCTTCCTCCCCCATCTTCTTTACGCCGGCCTCGGTCCCAATCCAGCTGTCGTAGTAGGCAGCCATTTTTTCCAAACAGGCCTCTTAGAAGGCTGGGGACTGAAGGAAGTCGGAGACGGCACGCTCTTTCTCGGAAACAGCTTGCTCCCTCTCAGCAAGGGCCCGATCTCGCTCAGCTTCCAGAGACCACTGCGAGGAGACAGTCTCGGCCAGTTCAACATCCAGCTCTGATATTCGGCCCTCGGATTAAAGCAGCCGCCCCTCGAGCTCGGCCATGAAAGCCGTCAGTTAGGAGGCCGATTCCTCCGACTCCTTCAAAAGGCCCTGCAGCCGGACCACTTCCTCGGACTTCGCCACGGCTTGCATCTCGAGCTCGGTGGCCTGTTCATGCTCGGCAGCCGCCAATTTCCTTAGGCGGGACAGCTCTGTCTCCACCGAGGCCAAGAAGTCCACCCCTGAGGAAAATTCAGCCCCGGCTCAGCGTTTGCTGATCAGACTCAATTTCGTCGACACCTAACAAAAACCAAGTCAATCATCTATATCGATTAAGAAAACGGAGGTACCAGGATGCTCACCTTTTTGTGGAACCCATCCACCAACCCTTGCAAGGACGACAGGATCTCGTCCTCGTCTTTCAGCGCCACGGACAGAGATGCGACCTCGGCCTCGGCTTGTGCATTCCCATCAGATATGTCAAGGGAGGCGGGGCACTTCCCGTCCTGAGGAACGACCGGACGTTTCGCCAACAGACTCTGGGTCAGAATCACGTCCTGCTTAGACGCAGTCTCCTCTTCCTCGGTTTGGAGGAGTTTTCTTTTCCTTTGGCTCCAGGTCTGAACCACTTCCCGGTCGGGGATGGTCGCGGCAGGCCCGGATGTGTTCCCCGAGGGCGGCTCACGGTGTACCTCCTCTTCTCGCCCCTGGATTTGGGCCAACAGCTTGGCCCTCCGGACAACCTCCAATGGATGCATGTCTCCAGGCAGTACAAAGCAAAGGTTAGAAAATTTGTCATTAAAAAGGGAAAAGTCCTAAAGTGAAGTACAGACCTCCGGAAGGCTCCACATTAGCGACGTCCTTGGAGTAGGACGGCTGTCCCGACTCTTCATCGGTCTCAATCTCCTCGTCCTCTTCCTCTTCTCTTTCCTCTATTTCCGAATCTTCCGGCCTCGAGGTGCTCTCTTCGAGCCCGTGCTTGGGACGGCTCCCCAGCACGGCCTCGGCCTACTCGAATTGACGCTCGAGGGAAATGAGGATTCCCACCTCCGCGAGGTTATGCTCCGTGCACACCGTATATACGTGAGGCGGTTTTGGTCGGCAGCCTCCCAAGAGTTTCTGCGCATGCGCGAGAAGCTCCGGAGAGGGGTCAGGACGAGGATGGCGGATAAAAGTGTGACAATCGGGAAACATGGCTTGGAAGGGATGCCGGTCCCCGGGAAAGCCAGAGATGAAAACAAACTTAGCCTTCCAAAGTTTTAGGGACATGGGGATAACAGCCATGCCACACTCGGCCTGAGAAGAGACAACAGTGTACGAATTTCCCTCACGCGCCCCGACTTTGGAAACCTTGAACATATAGCGGAACAAGTCCAGGGACTAGGGGACTCCCTTCAGGTGACACTTGATCAGGAAAATTGAGAAGCAATAATAAGAGTGGGGACTGAGCTGGCCGGGCAGAAGACGATGGAAGTTCAGAAATTGAACTATCAGGTCGTGAGGAGGAAATCGGAGACCATAGCGCATCGATGCCACATGCACCCCGACCTCGGCATCAGGGCTGGTCACGGAGAAAACGTGATTTGTCGCGTGCGGTCCGTGCACGGAGTAGCCCTCCCCCACGAAGCGAAGGGCCTCGTCAAAGTCAATGTCCAACAGAAGACAACCCGTACTCGTGATTTGACCCGTTTCCAACACGGTAACGGGTGAGGATTTCCGGATCTGACCTTCAACGGTTTTCTGATTTTTGACGGTTTTCGATTTTTTCCCTTTTGGGCGCGACGCCTGGGACGACGACGCCACGGTAACCGATGTACGGAGAGGCACCGCACTCAGAACCCTATAATGATTGATTCCTCCCATCAGACCGTCAGGGCGGAGGGAGGGATCTTGTCGGTACATTTCCTCAAAACAAGTCGCCGCTGGGTCAACAACGGGGATAAAAGGAGTGGAATCGGAAGACGCCATGAGAACGGAGAAGGATTAACTAACCTTCAAGGCGGACTGCGACGACGACGGCGAATGGGCAGAGACGATGAATGAAATCGACGGCAAAAGTGCGGCGTAAAAATGACAAATGTGGAGAGGATTGGAGAAAATTCCCGTTTTTATATAACTAAGGGATCCGACCCGACTCAACAAAAAGTCACAATTACGGAGAGACGTGGCGTTCCCTCAGGCGTGCGATCGCAAATCATCACAAACGGCTAACAAAGGAACAGTACAGAGACGTTGTGTCTCCCAGTTGGAACATGTAAATCCTACCAGTTGGAACACTGCCCAACTCCCATCAACACTCAAGTCGGGCAGTGGGGGACTCCTATACACAGCCAAGATTTTCAAAATTCAAAATTCAAATTCCCAATTTTTTAGATTACTTCCCTCGGCTTCGCTACGCTCGGCCAAAGAAGTAGGAGACTCATGATGGATACCCGGGAATGGGGGTATTCAGCCCAACAGGAAGACGGCCCAGCCCAACTTCACTAAGGCCCACTTGACGGGACCAAAGCATGAATGAACAAAGGACCACGGAAAACCACCCCGGTAGCGGTACGCGCTCGGCCCCGACAGGGTCGGTCATCCTCGGACCACCCCTGGCCGGCCTTCCGCCAAGAGACTTTCGAAGAGAGGTCGTACGCTTGGCCTCGGCCCTGGGCAACGACAGATCAGACCTGGACAAGGAAGCTGACTAAAGTCAAGATCAAGGGGCCCACGATTAGACCCCCGCCATGCCTCTGGCAGAGTTGCTATAGCCACCCTATTTGTAACCTATTTTGTATAGCAATCCTAGGGTTAATGATGTGGTTGGACGCCGCCAGTGGACAACCCAATCTTAGTGGGCCCAGACCGTTGGATTATGGACTAACGGTCGGAACCCTAGTTGTAATCTGCATATAAACCCCTTCCCTTCTAAAGGAAGGAGGACACACTTTTACTTACGTTCTAACTAGCACAACATGACTCTCAGTTTGCTTGACCCCTGATTTTGTGAACTCTCGACTTAGTTCGATACTCTTCCGCCTAGTTTCCTAGGCCCTCGGGTTCTTCAACCCAACAATTATACTTTGTAGTTATCTAGATGCAATCATATTAGATGAGACATTATCAGATCACATGTGATTATCGATGAAAAAGTAGTTTTTTCTTAACCAAACACGTGCATGTTTAAAAATAAAAAAAAGGAAATTTACTTAAATAGTACTAAAATATAATAATTTTCTCTAAATAGCAGCATATGTGTTTTTTCCCTATATAACACTTTTAGTCATTATCCATTAGTCATTATTCAAATAAATGTTTGCCATCACTTGATATTATTCCTCGTTATGGACACTATTAAAAGTGCTATTTAGAGATTAAAACAGTTTAAATATAAAATACTATTTAGAAAAATGGATTAAGTTTTAATGCTATTTAATGCAAATATTTCAATAAAAAAAGCTAATTATAGATGAATAAGAAAAGCACACGAGACTAAGGCTCTGTTCCGTTCAACTTATTTTTTCTGATCTGATCTGATTTTTTGTAGTTCTAATCTGATCTGGTCTGGTCTGGTCTGATCTGATTGGATCTGATCTGATCTGTTTCGATCTGATCTGATCTGATTCGATCTGATCTGATCTGATTTGATCTGATTGGATCTGATCTGATTGGATCTGATCTGATCTGATCTCATCTTATTAGATCTGATTTGATTAATTATGATTTGATTTAAAATTCAAATCAATAATTTGAATTGAGTTTATAATAACGTTTGAAATTTGTAATGATAATTCATATTATAATATAATCAATATTTTTTATTTATAATTATTTTTTAATAAAATAAAATTAGTTAATTTATATATTAGAATAATCATTCATATTTTAATGTAATAATATTTTTTATTTTATGATTATTGTTTGTGAAATAAGAATATTGATTTAATATTTTAATAATTAGTTCATACATACATTAGAATATATATTTAATTTATTTAAAATCAATACAGAGAAGAGATAGTATTTTTATTAAAATATCTCATCCTTATAAAAGATCAGAACTTTAGAAACTCAAATTACATGTAGCTATAAAAATGTATTTTAAATGTAGAATTAGATTGACATTGTCAATGTATTTTAAAAATATTTTTTTCGACGTCTAATAATTAAGGATTAATTTCTCAGTTTTCTATTTAACTTGTTTCTAAAGTTTATTATTTTTCATTTTTAAGAATAATAATAATAATAATAATAATAATAAGAATAACAACAACAACAACAACAACAATAATAATAATAATAATAATAAGAACAACAACAACAACAACAATAATAATAATTCTTTATGGGATCTGATCTGATTACATCTGGTCTGATCTGATCTGATTTATTCTGATCTGATACGATCTGATCTGATTTTATTAAGAATAAAAAAAAATAAGTTGAACGGAACAGGACCTAACGAGAGTAGTAGAGTAGGTGACCAAAGGAAAGAGTGGTAGGTAGAATCTAGTCATAGAATTCATTGTTCTCCTCTACCTTTCCTGTACAAATCCAATAATTAGTCCGAACTCGGGAAAATGACAATGCCATCAATTTCGTACACTTGGTCCTCCTAATAGATCCTCCACACATTAACATTAACCAATTGAAGTTGCATTTTTCTACTTGACCCTCTGTGGTTCACCTCCCCCCGAACACAACCCAGGGAGGAAAGAAGAAACAAACCAGGATTTAAAAAAAAAAATCTTGTAAAACTTCTCCTGAGAAAATTAAGGTTTGTATTAATGGAGAGTGATTCGGGATCGGAGTACAAGGAAACCTTGCTGCAGAAAGAAGATACAATATACTATGAGAACTGCCCAGGGTGTAAGGTGGAGCAGCAAAAGGAATTGCAGAGGGGAGTTCCAATAAAACTGCTCCTCAGCGTTTGGACTATTGTTCTCTGTACATGTATGCCGCATTCTTATTTCTTCATTACACACACATAGACACAGATATTTTATATTTATATATATATATATATATATATATATATATATATATATATATATATATATATAGGGGCTGGTTCAAGTGAGAATGCACCTTGGTGAAAGAAATAAGAATAAAATCTGGCATTTGGATCTGATGCATCGTGCGGCTCAGATTGCATTCTGCACTCAAATTTTGAGATAGTGCATTTTCAAAGGATTATGGTGCATTTCGACATGATGCATTTTCAAACCATCTTGGTGCACCTAATTTTGATGCAATCCTAACCCTTAGATCTCCCAATCTAATGCACCAGATTCATTCTTATTTTTTTCATTAGATTGCATTCTCACCTGAACCAAAATCTATATATATCTGTGTGTGTGTGTGTGTGTGTGTATTTATATATTCTACTTATTCGGTCTTAGTCCTGCTCAATTTAAAACCTTTGGGGATAAGTACTGCAGTATGCAAAATTTTCATGTTTGGTTTTTATTCCATTTTAAGGGATTGTTTGCCACAGAATCTTAAAATTATGTTATATGCTAAGATGAGATTATACTGGGTTGTCCTTGTTGTTGTTGTTGTTCTTGTTAGGTTTGTATCATTACCTCAAACATGGTTTCTTATCCAATACAAATGATTTGCCTTTTATTAGTGTAAAATTGAATTCCATGCCTCTCTTAACGTGTTTTGGAGTGATATATTATGTGATATGGTGATAAACAAGTTCTGGTTATGTTTCATGTGTTGTACGTGCACCTCCAACTTTGCAGCACTCCCTATATCGTCTCTCTTTCCTTTCCTTTATTTCATGGTAAGATGCACCTTAATCTCTGCCCTCATTCTTAACAATGCTCGAGGGAATCCAACCATTTACACGTGTATATTTTCTGTTGTGGCAGATAAGAGATTTCAAAATTGCTGGGACTGAAGAAGATATTGGTTACTATGCAGGTTATGTAGGTAGGCTAATGTTTTCTAGTTATCTCGGGTCTTGACGCTATAATTTTTGATTAATCACAGTAAATATCATTTCCCCTGAATGCGTGAAGGATCGGCATTCATGTTGGGAAGGGCAGCTACATCTGTGTTTTGGGGGATAATTGCTGACCGTTATGGCCGAAAACCAGTTATTATATTTGGCACTGCATCAGTGTAAAGTTCACTCACCTCTCTGGCTCTCTCATTTCATTCGTCTCTGGCAAATTCAAACAGTATTCGATCTTAAATTGTATTGATATGATCTCAGGGTTATATTCAATACTCTCTTTGGTTTTAGCATAAACTTCTGGATGGCAATCATAACCAGATTTCTTCTTGGAAGTTTAAATGGTTTGCTTGGACCAATAAGAGTATATTTTTCCCCTCATGATTATTTAACACCACTCACCATTTCATTTAGTTATCACTTTGATGCTCTCTGTCACCTAACTTTTTTGAATTTGTAGGCATATTCTGTAGAAGCTTTTCCAGAACAGTACCAATCGTTGGGACTCTCAACGGTGACACCTTTATAGTCAAATAACAAGTATTCTATTTTAAAATATTGAAGCTCTTACTTTTTTTCTGTGTTTTGTTCTGTTTAAGGTAAGCACAGCTTGGGGTATAGGGTTAATCATTGGTCCAGCTCTGGGAGGTTTTCTTGCACAGGTATTTACCTATAATATAACTAATATCTGGAGGGGGGTGTGAATTGTAAATTTGTAATAAATTTTATTTTTGTGGTGATTGGTTTACTTTTGAACTAAGCCTGCAGAGAAGTATCCTTTACTATTCTCAGAACACTCTCTATTTGGAAGGTAATCATTCCTCATCTTCTATCGCCTTACATTCTCCTTAGTTTTGCTCACGTATTTCTGAATGCCCATTGAGTACAACATATAATGATATAATGTCTTGTGCAGATTTCCCTACCTTTTGCCTTGCTTGTCCATTTCTCTTTTTGCATTGATTGTGACCATATTCACATTTTGGTTGCCGGTAGACCCTTTTTTTTACAGTACAGTTAGTTTCAATATGAGGAAGTGCCTGCTTTTTTCCCCTATGTTTTGACTCAACTCGCATGCATGTAGGAAACAATGCACAAGCATGGTTCACCGAGTCTTTCATCTTGCGATTCATACAAGGCTTTAGAGGCTGCATCTCAAGTAGACAAGGATAAGGAAAAACCGGCTTCCATCTTCTCGTATGAGTCTTTGACCGGTAATTACAGTAGGTAGAATCATATAACACAAAAGACTCTTCATGATATGGCTTATACCGAGGTATATATATGCATTTGTTATACTATGAGTAAATTATTTCAATGGATAAACAATTCATAATATATGGAGTGACATAGTAAAGTTTACATGACTCGTTGTTTTTAATAGATATTTTCGTTATGGGCTGAGAGTCCACGAAGACTTGGAGGATTGAGTTATTCTTCAGATGATGTTGGAGTGGTTCTTGCCTTCTCTGGTGCATAGTCTAATTGTCTACTAATACATTTATATATTTTGTACAACTTCCACTTTTCATCATTCCAAAATTTCATTTTGCGGTTTAAAAAGTATATATATTTGTTCTCTTTCTTCATCAGTGGTGTGAAGCCAATTCTTAATACATTTCACAGGGTTCGGTCTTCTAGTCTTTCAACTCTTCATGTATCCCTTGGTTGAGAGATATTTTGGCCCGACAATGACAACAAGAGTTGCAGGAGTAAGTAATTAATGAAGAAGTATAATGTTTAAACTGATGTCAAATGCCATCAGACTTGGTTTGCGAACATAATTTATTTTTATTTTATTGAACTTGAATTTGCGTTTGATGGTTTCGCTCATGCAGATTTTGTCAATACCCCTGCTAACAAGCTACCCGTACATTGCATTGTTGTCGGGCATCACCCTCTCCCTGGTGTTAAACTGCGCCTCTATCATGAAGAACGTTCTGTCTGTAAGTGGATTTCATGATCTTGGTGTCATTATTCGAACTGTTAAGATAATCTCGTTTGCTTAGATGATGCTTCTCAACGAGACATGATTAACTTTTAACTCACTGCTCATACGTGTATAAATTTGTACCAACACAAAATTACGATACATAATTTTATGCACAGAAAAACAGGATGAAATTGATTAGAGGATATATAATTTAATTTGGGCATTTTATTAACCACTTTTAACTTATTGTTTTGTATGTTCAGGTTTCAATCGTAACAGGATTTTTCATACTGCAGAACAATGCAGTGGTAATATTTCACTCATGATATGTATTTTTATTCTTATTATTACTCCGTATTATTATTATTACGGTACCGTTATTATTATTATTAGGTTGAGAAAAGTATAAACAGATAATAGAGTAAATAGCATTAAAAAAATTATAATTCATTCAATCCTTTTAGAATAAATTCTATGAATAGTCCCTTATAATATGGTATTTTCCATAAATAGTACATTTGAGAATTACCGAGTATTCTATAATAAGTCCTTTGACCCAAATATTATTTTCCATATATGACTACGAAGGCAATTTCTTAGAATTGAGGGCTATTTATAGAAAACACCAAAGGGGCCATTTCTTTGTCACCTGGTTTCTTTAATTTGTTGCCATGACTGTAGGACCAAGATCAAAGAGGAACCGCAAATGGCATTGCGATGACTGCAATGTCAATTTTCAAAGCTTTAGGTCCTGCAGGAGGAGGAACACTGTGAGTCTCCCCCTCCCAGCCCCCAAAAGAAAGTTGATAATTCAACACATTTGTATAGTTGATAATCTGTTTTTTGTATTATCTGTAGATTTTCTTGGTCCGAAAAGCGCCAAGAAGCTTCCTTCCTTCCAGGTATACAAATACTCGTGGTCCATTTGTGATTTCAGAATAGTAAATGAAATTTTGTCGCTCACCTATGTACATACATACATACAGAGAAGTTCACAAGGTAAATGAATAGCTTAATAATCACATTTATTGATCATTGCAGGCAATCAAATGACATTCTTTGTTCTGAATGTGATTGAGGCTACTGGCATACTGCTCACGTTTAAACCATTTCTTGTTACACGTTAAGCTACAGATTGATCATCCATCCTTCTCAACGTTCTTCTGGCACCATGCATGCAAATCATTCATTAATTTCCATGGAGTAGTTTGCCCCAACCATGGAAATTAAAATGCAGATTTTTTTAATATTTCAATGATCTCCCAGATTCTCCGTTGCTATTAATAAATAAGTAAAGGGTGTCTCCCTTATATGGTGTTTCACTTTATATAACTATACATACTACGTATAATTTTTGTGTAACATTTAAAAAACAATTTTATTCTTGTGAGACACACCTTTGCATTAAAAAAATAATTTTATTCTTGTGAGACGCACCTTTCCTAGATCCTACTCTTGGAAACATCTATACTTTCGAGTAAAGGCAATGTGTGCATACACACACTCTTCCCAGACTACTCTCGTGAGGTTCAACTTCGTCGTTGTTATTTACCGCACTTTAAAAAATAAAACTTTCTGTGTTGCCTACATACCCTAATGAAGGGGATCAAGCTAGCTACACGTAGTTTAGATCAGAGTTGGTAAATGGGACGGATAAACCTTCAAAACGCATGATCAATGAGAATGCTTTCCTAAAAAATTTATCTATCCTATTATATATTTTGTAAGTAGCAAGGGTTAAAGGATAGAGCTTTTGAGATATAATGAAGGGCACAATTATTCGGTTGTTCAACGATTCAATTTGTTAATGTACTCTTATGAGAGTTATCCCAAAAGGAGATTAAGATATGTAGAAAAATAAGTTTTCATTAATTAATGCCGAGTATTTCATTATCATAGAACAAACCTAGGAAAAAACGATCCCCCTATTTTGACTTAAATTGCTTATTGTTGTTTATGAATTTTGTCAGGAGTTATTCTCAATTCAATTAACTTAAAAATTAGAATGGAATTAAAAAAAATAAAATTTATATTCCTCCATCTTAAAACTATCTTCCTAGTTACTATTCACACGGTCAAACTTAAATCACTTTCTTTACCTATTTTCTTTAGTCATTTGACATAATTATATAGCCTTGTCACCTATTGTTTATAGAATTTTTGATGTAGTTTTAAATATATAGATTTTATTTTTTAATTTTACACTTACAATCAAATAAATTATATTAAAAATAAAGTCGGTCAAACCTCGTAAAGATGGTTTTAGGACGGAGGGAGAATATTTAAAGACAACATCAAAAGGTTTACAAAGCAAAAAGTGACAATACTATATTATTTTTTCAAATGGGTAGCGTAAATGGGTAAAAGACGTGCTTAAAAATTGATTACATAAATGGTAAACATGCAACTTAAATTGAGTTTGATAGAATAATAAAGTGTTTCAACATTCTAAATAAAATAACTATGCCTTATCCCATTAGGTATGGTCGGCTACATGGATCAAATGATACTATTGCACTCTATCATGTACCATATCTGCAGCGAGATCATTCACGTGAAGCTCCCCCTTGACCACTTCGTGCCAAGTCTTTTTAGGTAGTCTATCGTTTCCTCTACCCGCATGTCTATTTACCATTCAATCAACCATTCTCATCGAATGCTCTATTGGTCTTTGATGGTGTAAATTATCGACCGGTATATCGTTTTAACCCGGCAAAAATGATAAACTAGTCTAAAAAATACACCAAACTATAAACATGAGGATTTTGACGTGGAAACCCAAATCGGGAGAAAACCACGGGCCTTTTTTGGCGGTACCTTGCCAACGAGGGATTTTTATTAATATCGGGGGTGTGTACACGGTACATAATTTAGGCGTAGAAGCCATTAATGGTGGAAGTAGAAGCTCTTGAAGAAGAAGGAAATATACACACTAAAGCTTTCTAGAGAGAGAGAGAGTAAATGGGTAGGGGAGAGTATAAAACTTGGCCTCCTCTTCACATTGGGGGCACCCCTCCTTTTATAGGGAGTGAGGGAATCATCTTCAAGGAATATTCTCTTATTCCTCCATTTCATTAAACAGGCCCGGTTTGACTGTTCTTCGTAAATAATTGGGAAATGTGGACCGGGCCACGTATTATTTCCCATCAGTCTTCTCTCTACATGTACAAACTACCTAAGACGAGTTTTCATCATCTTTTCTACAATACATGTCACTCCAACTTTAGCTCTCATCTCCTCATTTCATATACTATCCATAGGGGTATGGCCGCACGCTCATTCATCAAAGCATCTTGATTTTGGCAACACTAACCTTGTGTTCATCTTCCCTTTAGTTCTAAAGCTATTTTTTGTCACATATAAACGTCGAAGCACGTACTCCAAATTTTGACCAACCAGCTTGAATCTTGTTGTTATCATCATAGTTTTTAGAACCGGACTAGGGACCGGATCAGTCAAGATACTGGTTCACTAGTTCACTGGTCGGACCGGTGGTTCAAGTGGTCGAACAAGTGGTTCATGCATATTTTAAAATTATATATATATATATATATATATATATATATATATATATATATTGGTGTGAGATGGGTTTAGAGAGAGGTTTCTTTCACGGCGATGTTGGCCAGCGGCTTTATTGGCGGAACACTTCATCCGATGGGCTCAAGATACCAGCCTTTAATGGGAAATCTACATTTCATTCGCATAGTATTTCATCCTATAACGGACGGAGGGGGTTGGCGAAATCACAGAATCCTGTCTTCACTGGGCTCAGTATACCAGCGATTGACAGGAGATTTAGATTTCCTTTGCATCGATATTCATCTTCTAATTCTTGGAGGAGGTGGACGGAATCAAAGTTTAATCGGGGAGGGTCAGATTTTAGATCTGGTAACTATTGCTCTCATTGGCAGTCAGATCTAGGGGGTGTTCACACATCCTTGCGCCCATATCCAGCACCGGTTGAAAGTCTCAACACCAGATTCAGCTTTAGGCTTCAAACCAAGATATTCGATCTCTTCCACTCTGGTTACAATCTCTATTTCTGCATCACTGAGAAAGGAAGAAGAACTTTTCAAATTTGGTTGAATTTTGAGGCATTTAATTGGATTTTGGACTCCCTGCCTAGGCTCTCAAGTAATAATTGTTGGGTTCTTTCAAGGTTTGAGACTAATCGAAAGCTTACAATTTCTTTTGGATCCAACAAATTGGGGGATTATATCAGAATTTTTGAGCATAGATTTGAAGGTATCTGCTCAATTTTCTTCCCTATTGATAGGAGGGATGGCATTTCTCACTTGTTCAACTGTCTATCCTCTTTCTTATCTAAGATTAAGGGCAAGAATAAGGTGGAAAATCCCATCTTGGCAGCAAACACTGGAATAGTCATCATTCCTCATTTGCAGAAGAGGCTTCGGGATTGAATAAATCAGTTATAGGTTCTCCCAAAGATTCTAGTCAGGATGTTAATGCTTTGGTCCTTTACCCCAGGCCTTATGTGACTTCGGATTCACTTCCTAAAACCTGCTCTAATATCACCCCTGCGAATTTGTTTTCCTTTCCTAGAGGTTTTAGTAGTCTAATTTGGCTTCTTTTGTTTCGACATTTCTGTTCCCTTTACTCCTTGAAACCTAAGGCTAGTGATGAGAATTTTGCATTGGGTACATCTCCTGTTACAAAAGAGGACACTTCGGATTCAGTTCCTATGGATAATGCACCAAGATAATATTTTCTCTGACTGTAGTATAATATTTTCTCTGACTTTCACCATGCTGTTACTAGTACGTTTTCTTTCCGTTTTTTAACATCCACTCCATATACTCTGTTCTAGTGTGTCTTAGAGCGCTGAAAATGGAGATCTGCGTGTTTAACGTTGTTATGGCCAATTTTTTTTTAAAAAATAATTTTTTAACTATAATTATCACCTTTTTATAAAAAATATACACACAAACATATTCTCATTCTCTCTATAATTCATTCAAAAATATTCTATTTCTTTTAAATCTCTCTACAAAAATATTCAAAAAAAGGGATCATCTTCATCTGACGATGAAAGAAGAGCTCTCACTTTTTGTTCTTTCGCGAAGGGCTGTTACCAATGGTGTAAACAAGCACAACAAGAGAAAGCGGAATCGTCTCAGCGCTCGACCCGATGTGAGTGTTAAAATCATGACTGGGCGGCAGTAGACAAAGCACTACTCAACGACTACTTCAATGCTCCAAGTGTTTAAACACCAGAGGATTTTAATTGCCGGTTTCTGATTAGCCGTTCTTTGTTTTTACGCACAATCGCCGATATTGAATGCGAGGTGCCTAGGTTCACCTAACGCTTTGATGCGAGGGGCTGGCGCGATTTTAGCATCGTCAAAAAGTGCATCCTTGCGCTTCGCCAGATGGCGTACAAGACTGCTAGTGGTTTGTTCGACGAATACTTGAAAATGTCAGCTCGGAGCATCAGGCCATGTGTTTATAAATTTTCTAAAGCTATCATTCGACTTTATTATAAAAGGTATTTAGGTAAGCCGACAGCGAGTGACATTCAGCAGTTACAAGCGAGACATGCCGTTAAACACGGCTTTTTCGGCATACTTGGGAGCATCGATTGCACACATTTGGAATGGAAAAATTTCCCCACTCCGTGGCATGGTCAGTTCCCTGGGGATGATCATCCCAAACCAACAATTATGCTTGAATCCGTGGTTTCAAATACCTTGTGGTTTTGGCATGCTTTTCTTAATGTTGTGGGCTTGATGATCATCGACATCAACGTTCATGATCAATCGCCCGTTTTTTATGATTGGGTTAATGGGATTGCACCCTATTCCTATTTTGAGCTTAGAGGGACGCTCTACATGCGTGGATATTGGTCTTGTTTGGATGTTGGCCATCAGTTGTTGGCTATTTTTATCGGATGTTCTACATAGCTGTTTAATTTAGAGGGTTTGACCGGCAGGATGAGTTGGCTGATCGTTAAAAATGTTTGGTAAAATTAGCTGTTTATATATATATATATATATATATATATATATATATATATATATATATATATATATATAAACACATGATATTTATTTTTAATTTTTGTACATGTAAAAATTAAATCGTTAATATGTGGAGTATAAAATTTCATTTTCATATAATTCGTAATAAATTATTAATATATAACTTTTTAATGATTTTTAATTTTGATTTTCTCATATCTTTTTTTTTTAATTTTAAAATTTTAAACTTTTTTTTCATTTTTGAATTTTTTTTTAACTTTAATTTTAATTTTTTTACATATATTATAAAATATCTTTCAAGAAAAATCATTAAAAAATAATTTTTCTAAAAGGCAAGTTCAAATGTTACTCCCCTTGGCTTTTCGGATTTTGGCATTTTGAATCAAAAAGCCAAGTAAAAAAGTCAGCCAAACAATGTTTTTGGCGATT